TCATGAAAACGACTATGAGGTAAAATCTTCTAGAGCCGGTTTACTTTCTACTTAAAAGCCTAAAGACAAAGCTGTTACTGTAGAGCCGGTTTACGTTCTACTTAAAAGCCTAAAGACAAAGCTGTTACTGTAGTATTGTAGGGAAACAGACGGATTTGGCTGACCTGCTTACCGTCCCTGTTGCCACCCAATCCGAATCACGTGATAATTGATTTGGGAAGCAAAGAGTCTTGTTTGTACATTACTCAACTTGCTACCTTCATCCTCGTCTTTGTGACAGCTTCTGTCAATTGTTAAGCATGAATTTATTGTTTTTGGCGGTTTTAACACTTTGATTATCGGGTGCATTGTCCTGTCTGAGCCAGGAGCCATTAGGGAAATAGTAAGAACTTCTATGATTTTCAAGAGCAACCGCTCTTGGAAAAGAGCTTTCATGTTGTTCCCTTTCTTCCTAAGTGCTTGTTTGCTTTGTTTAAGCAGTGCCATGTGACTTTTAGAAACTACTGAGAGAGCTAACACTTAATAGTTTTGAACCCTAAACCTTAATAATAATTACACCTTATTACACTGTAAAACGAGGAATGTTTCTTAACACAATTATTTTCTTGTGTTTTAACGGGACAATCTGTTGGATTTAACAGCCATACGGTTTCCCATGAAGCCTTTTACACTTTGCAACCCACGAATCGTGGAAAGCCTTATAATCTTGTAGTAGTTCTTCCAGATCTCCCTCGGTTGGGTTGGAGGCTTGGTCATCAGCCGGGTTTGTTTGCTTGACTAATTCAACGTTCTGGTAATTGTTTTCCTCTCTCATTCGTTTCGCTGCAGTTAAAAAAAAAAAACTGCATTTTAGCAAAGCATTGTCGCGTAGAAGGAAAATCTTGCGGGAGTTCTATTTTGCCGATTTGCGTTTCTTGAGGACAACCCTAAAAAAGATAAGTATGATAACCTGGAACAACATATCGTCCTATTAAAAATGCTGCAATCCAATTGGCTACATTACTCACTATTGATTCTGTGGTTATGACTAGATTGAATGGTCTGACGGTATGCGATTGGAAACAAGATTAAATAAGAACCTGAGACTGCCTTATTGTAATTTTTTAAAGGTCTAGTAGATTTCTATGCGTGAAGACGGATATGATCTTCTCCAACATCAGCTATCACGCTATAAAAATTTCGAGTTCTTAATCTAGTTGTTTCATAGTTAAGTGTCGAGCGATATTATTGAGAGAAATAATTGAACGACTTCATCCCTTAGAAAAATGTTTTCTTCATTCGATCAGCGTATACATATCTAAGATCGACTTACGCTGCAGATATTTCTTTACAAGAACCTCGTACAACAACCCAGCGATAAAGAGTAATCCCAGAATGGCGACACCGCAGTACACAATCAGCTTGAAAGCACTTTCTTCGTAAAACAACTTCTCAGCTGCCATCACCTCTTCACTGATAGAGTCTGATGGATTCTGGAAAACATCAAAGCACGATTAAGTGACAGTTTCGGGACTCTGGCAACGTAACTAATTTCGAAGTTCCAGAGTTCGTCTGTCATGGAAATAGCTTTTCTCAGACCATTTTGTTTGTGCGAGGATCTGTAACTTAAAGTGGTGCGCAGTGCATGCTAACCAAACCATTGGGAACCTCTCTTTCCACAGCGAATATGTAAATAAAAATCTTTGAAGTACTTTTCAGCGCCCATAATCTGCAATAGTAAGTTTATTTGTTGTTGATCATTCTTCCAAGGAAAGACCAAACGATAAGTATTCAATTCAAAGCAAGTAAAATGGACT